TCATTTCCAAGTGTTCATTCTTGTTCTCTGAATATTCCTTTGTAAGAATATCCTGTGCCTATTTTCTCCAATTTTTTTTTTCTGGTTGTTTCTATCTCTCTCTTTCAAGTTAGACATTTATTTAAATGTCTGGTGATACTTGATTGTCAGTTCGTGTATTCCTTTTTTATTATTTAACTTTTGAATTGGTAATATATTCATATGCTCCAAAAATTTGTTTTAAAAATTTAGGAACTCCTTTCAAATGTTACAAATAAATGTTGATTATTTTAACACATTTTACAAGTGTAAAAACCTCAGATGTGCAATTCATTTTGTTATTCACAAGTAGGTAACTGGTCTCCATCAATATTTAGTTGATGCTATTAGATGATCTCCAAAAAAATATTTATAAACGAAGATACTTTCCATTTTTATATTAATATATTACTAGCTTACATGTCAACAATGTTATCAATAACACTCACAAGCTCAGGACATACAAAATAATGTTGTATCACCTGTATTATATTAAATTTAAGAAAGTTTATATTCAAGAATTGACATGAAAATTATGAAATGTTTAAAGATATGAAAGACATGCCTTTAGAACTGTTTTCCAGAAATCATCTAATAGCATCAAAGGAACATCAGTGGAGGTTAGGTCCTACTTGAGAATAACACAATTCATAGCATGTCTCAGATTCTTACATACGATGTGTTAAAATGGTCAATATTTTTCTTATTTGTAACATATGAAAGGAGCCCTAACATTTTCCATAATTTTTTTCTGAGCATAGAATAAGCACATGTAGTTTTATATGACATAAGAATTCTGATATTGATTCCTATACCTAAAACATAAAGTAATAATGTTGTAACACCTATATTCACTTGTCCCAACCAATACTAAAGCTTAGCAGATAGCTATAATAGTTGCTAAAAGATCATACCACTGTGGAAAGAGACCAAGAGAAACAACAAATAGCATAAAATTTTGACTTTCAAGGGATTTAATATATAAGTATTATAAATCAGTGAAAAATGATTTATTTACTACTGAATAATTTTCATTTCTATTATAAATTATTGTATAATAATATACATTTTAAATTTGTACTATATTTAGATTTTATGATATTTAGTATTTAATTTGATTTAAATTTAAATTATCAGCCATAATTTAAAATACTTTAACTGTATTTTAAAGTCAATTTGTAATGTGACAGAAAGGCAGTAAAATAGTTTCAGTAGTGGTGTGATATATAATACTGGGATAGTTTAGTTCTATGCAAACATGAATCAAGAACTCTGTATCCTGTCACGGCAACAAAGAACCCAACCTTACTGAGAGAGCAATATGAATTCCACATGATGTACTTTTTTGTTCAGACTACAAACACCCAGAAGACACCAAACAATACACTTCTTAAAGGAAAAAACCTAAGGTTAAAAAATGGCACCAAACATTTTGAAAAGAAGGGAAGTACCATCCTATTCCAAGTAGTTGTGGAGAAACAGTTATATTTCAGTGTAGCTCTGCAGATTATGCTCTTCATATGCTATTTAATACAAATGGTTTATTTGTTAAAATGTCTAGAAGAAATTTTGAATAAAAAGAAAGTACTCATTATTTTACAAGCCTTGTTTTTTTTAAATATAATAAAAATTAAAACTGTGAAAATCAGTATTTTAACTCACAGAGATAAATAAATAACCATTTGAGAAAAAAATGTGAATTGGAATCCTAACTCACACTTTATGTTAGGTACATAAGTAGTCAACGTATAGGCGAAGTCTAGGCCTCCCGCTGGTCCTCGTGTTGCCTGGTTTAACCTGATCTTAAACCAGGCAATGTGAAGTCTAATGGGAACCCCAAACTTCACCTGTACATTGACCATTTATGTACCTAATCCTGAATTGTACCTCACATCTTTAAAATGAAATAATAATAATAAAAAGTAACTTTGAAGTGTACTATATTTTTTAATTTAAAAGAGAAAACCATAAAATAGAAAAAAATGTTAAATATATAAATAATCTTGGAGTAGGGAAAAATTTTCTGGACTGATATGTAAACTAGAAATTACAATGAAGAGGTCTATAGAATAATTTACCTAAGGTTTTAAAAATCTGTTTGGGAAAAAACTAACATAAAGTTCAAAGAGAAGACGGGAACGGTGGCTCAAGCCTGTGACCCCAGCATTTTGGGAGGCCAAGGCAAGAGGATTGCCTGAGCTCAGGGATTTGAGACCAGCCTGGGCAACTTGGCTAGACCTTATCTCTACAATAAACCACAAAATAAGCCAGGTGTGGTGGCGCACACCTGTGGGTCCAGCTACTTGGAAGGCTGAGGCGGAAGGATCGCCTGAGCCCAGCAGGTCGAGGCTGTGGTGGCTGTGAGCGTGCCACTGCACTCCAGGCTGAGAACATAGTGAGACCCCAACTCAAAAAAAAAAAAAAAAAAGTTCAAAGAGAAGAATATTTCCAACACATATGACAAGGGGTTAATATGTTCAATCCATATATGGCTCTTGTTAATTAAAAAATTAAATAAACACTCCCAAAGCAAACAAGTGCAAAGTACATGAATCAGCAATTTACAAAATAAATATTTAAAAAATATAATCAGCTTTCCTAAAAGTCAAAGAACTACAAATTAAAATGAGATCATATATTTGCCTATCAGTTTATCAACAATTAAAAACATCAAAATGCTGGAGGTTTGTAAGATTGTGGTGAATGGATATTCCTGTACAATATTTAGGGGAGGGTTGAATTAGTAAAAACAAACAAACAAAGAAACAAACACAAAAACCTTTCTGGATGGTAAACTTGTACTTTGCAGCTAGATTTTTAAAGAAAATAATCTAGCAATTTTACTTCAATAAATTTTCTCTAAGGAAATAAATAATGACGACTATAAAGGTAAAACCTGCGCAATCACCTAACTGCTAAAACTTTAAGAATGCTTAAGTAGTTTGGGATTTATGTATAATAGTCTGCAGCCAATGAAAAAAGATCTGCATTAATTTTAAAAGAAAAATACCCTTGACACCTCATTAACTAAAAATGTACATTACAAAGCAATAGGTATGAATAATCATGCTTACCAATGAAAGTGTGGGAAAGGGAATGGAGAACCTGGGTCCTGACTGGGTCAGAAATGAGGCTTGACTAAAACATAAACACTAAACAAGTAGGTAGAACTGAAAAACATCTCCCTCCTTCCATCTTCACCCTCCTGTCACTCAGTATGTCTCACTTTTATGAGCAACTCTCCTTTTCCAAGATGACGTTGTTTTGTCTTATTATTTGTATTATGTGTATTATCATTATTATTACCATTATTATTATTAGGGACTTAATTTTACGTTAAGTGCTTACTGTGTGCCAGTCACTATGATTAACATGTTACATGGCTTACCACATCAAATCTTCAAAACAACTCTTATTCCCCATTTGCAAATTTGGGAACAGAGTCAGAAAAGTTAACTTGCTCAAAGACATAGAACTTTAAAAAGACAGAGATGAGAATCATGCACAGTGTATCTCACTCCAAAACCATGCACTCATCTACTACATCCTCCTGCCGTACAGCGAACTGAAACCAATCCATAACACAAGTACAAGCACACCAAATATATGTGGTGGGTTTGCAGAATGTAGCAGAAATGAGGGAGAGTTTAGTAAAGTCAAATGGCAAGGTGAGACAAGGAAAACAAACCACAATAAATGAGGAAGAATTTGGCATATTAGGTTACATTTGCTAACAGGTCTTATATGTGGTAGGAGGCTTTTTTATAAACTGCCCAGCCCAACCTTCTAGGGGAGCTTATAGCATTAGGCAGCAGAGGGCTATTTTGAAACATGTGAAGTCTTCTTCTATCAAGGACCCACGTAACATATTGAGGGACCCTTTTCCTCCATAAAGTAATTGTACTCAAGAAGAATACAGTACTCAAGTAATTGTACTCAAGAAGAATACAGTACTCAAGTAATTGTACTCAAGAAGAATACAGAGCTCATCTATGCATTACATAGATATCAGCAACAGTCTTCTGGGTTCTAAAGAAAGACTGTTCTAAAGTAAAGACTGGCAGTATGAAATGGAAGTACACAGTAGGTGACCTAGAAATGGGTAGTCAGAGTGGTGGCAGACACTGGCAAGAGAGACATGCTTAGAAGCAACTGGAAGAGAAGAAACATAGATATTCAGAGAGCTGCTGCTCTTAGGGACTTAAAGAGAGCTGTAAGAAAGGGACAGGATCAAGGGAAACCCATCTGGCTGAGTGCTACTGACACTGAAACAAACTTTAAAGCATACTTACCTAGATTCTACATACTGCCACGTGGATAGGAGGATGATATGTATAGATACATGTATATATAGGGTCAGAATGAATATACTCCAAAACATTAAACTGTTAGGTTGAAAGATTTTGTGTGGGCTTTACTATTTTTTTCTTTCTGAATCATCTGAACTGTTTTAAAAAAGCATATCATATATCTATGAGATATGTTTTGAAGGAGAAAAATTATTCCTAGTTATTTTACATTATCACAAAAATATTTAAGATGGGAAAATTTTGGTGGCTGTATGTAAATAGATATGTAATAAGAATTAAGCACAATGTTTTGCCCAATTCTCATTATGAACTCTTTCAAGGGAAGCATACTTACATACCACAAAGACTATGACTATGTGTTTGCAAGCCCCTCCGTTAATAATTTCCTTTGAAGTCAGGACTGTATTGTACCCACGATTATTATTGAGACTTGACACCCTTTAGACACTCAGTAAGACTAAGTGAATGAGTTTATGAAAGCATAAGCACTCTGATAGCTTTTGATGTGCAACTGTCAATGGTAACTGATAATTAATTTCAGCCTTGGAATCTCCATGTCCTGTTATTTTGATTTTGCTAAGTCTATGACATAAGGTAATTGACTGATCACATTAAGACACCTAAACAAGTGTTTTTTTGTTTTTTTTTTCTCTTTCACTTTACATATCACAGCGCCATTCAACCCAAATAAAGGTGCAGATAGCATCGTCAAGTTTGACACTTTTGGAGATGGAATGGGGCGATACAACGTGTTCAATTTCCAGTATGTGGGTGGAAAGTATTCCTACTTGAAGGTTGGTCACTGGGCAGAAATCTTATCACTAGATGTCGACTCTATCCACTGGTCCCGAAACTCAGTCCCCACTTCCCAGTGCAGCGACCCCTGTGCCCCCAACGAAATGAAGAACATGCAACCGGGGGATGTCTGCTGCTGGATTTGCATCCCCTGCGAGCCCTACGAATACCTGGTTGATGAGTTTACCTGTATGGACTGTGGGCCTGGGCAGTGGCCCACTGCAGACCTAACTGGATGCTATGATCTTCCTGAGGACTACATCAGATGGGAAGATGCCTGGGCCATTGGCCCTGTCACTATTGCCTGTCTGGGTTTTATGTGTACATGCGTGGTTGTAACTGTTTTTATCAAGCACAACAACACACCCCTGGTCAAAGCATCGGGCCGGGAACTCTGCTACATCTTGTTGTTTGGGGTTGGAATGTCATATTGCATGACGTTCTTCTTCATTGCCAAGCCGTCACCAGTCATCTGTGCACTGCGCCGACTCGGGCTGGGGACCTCCTTTGCTATCTGTTACTCAGCCCTGCTGACCAAGACCAACTGCATCGCCCGCATCTTCAATGGAGTCAAGAATGGCGCCCAGAGGCCAAAATTCATCAGCCCCAGTTCTCAGGTTTTCATCTGCCTGGGTCTGATACTGGTGCAAATTGTGGTGGTGTCTGTGTGGCTCATCCTGGAGACTCCAGGCACCAGGAGGCATACACTTGCAGAAAAGCGGGAAACAGTCATCTTAAAATGCAATGTCAGAGATTCCAGCATGTTGATCTCTCTTACCTATGATGTGATCCTGGTTATCTTATGCACTGTGTATGCCTTCAAAACGCGGAAGTGCCCAGAAAATTTCAACGAAGCCAAGTTCATAGGCTTTACCATGTACACCACGTGCATCATCTGGTTAGCCTTTCTCCCTATATTCTATGTAACATCGAGTGACTACAGAGTAAGTCTTTGATTGTTTCTTCTTTTTCTTGTTCTTTTTGCTTGCCAATGTTTTCTTGGGTAGAATTTAAGTTAGACCCATTTTATTTCTTCTCAGCAATGTGTTGGGCAATTACAAATGCCATGATATGAGCTTCCATATCATATGTGGAGATTAATTCAATAGGTTTTAAAAGCATTTAGTTTTATCTACCACATGTAGAGAACCATAAATGTAAATGACATGGTTATTCAAGCAATTTATAATCGAGTGGGAGATAAAGAGCAATACATCACAGAAACAAAAATCTGAGTATCACATGTTCTCACTAATAAGTGGACCTTGAACATCTATCATAATACTATAAGAAAAGGATTGACCCTGACGGGAAACTATG